ACACTAGTCTTTTTGTCTTGAAGATATAAAAAGTCTACTAGTACCATGTGATATTCACAAATGTCATAAACAAAACAGAAAAGTATTAACCATTAATGAAACAAACAAATAATTTAACACCAAGTACTTCTTTTTTTAAGACTTCAGAGGGTTGGGGATTGATGTCAGTAAAGCACTAGCTTAGCTTGCATGAGGCCCTGGGTTCCATTCTCAGTTCTGCAAACAAACAAAAACCATCATCCAGATGTTGTGATACATATATCCAAGAAAATCTTGCTTTTAGAAAACATAGCTTTTAATAAGGATGAACAACACACTAAAAAGAAATATGGGCAAGAGTCTTGAATAGAATATGAAGAGGAGATCCAAAAAGACAATATTTATTTTTTAAAAGGTGTCCAACTTCATTTATCATCAAGGAAATGCAAATTAAAATTACAATGCCATGCCATTACAAATTCACCACAGTGATTAAAATAAAAAAGAATAACAAATGTTGATGCAGTTGTGAGCAAACAGAACTTTCAAAAATTGCCGATGGGAGTATGTACAGATAAAAGCACTATGGAAAACTGTTAGTAACTGCTAAAGCTGGAAGTGTGCATTTCTCTGTAATCCAGTAATTTTTGTTCTAGGAATGTATCCACTAGAAATGCACACATGTGTCCAACATAATTTGTTAATGGCCCTAAATTGGATATCACCAAAATGCTCATCAGTGGTAGAATGGATAAATTGTGGGATACAATAGAATCCTATCTAGCAAAAATAAAAAACACAATATAGATGAATCCCACAAACACAATGTTGAGATAAAGAAGCCAAACCCAAAGTGTATGTAGCATACAATTCGTGCATACAAAGTCCACAAATAGGCAAAATTACTCTGTTAGAAGCAGGATTAATGGTACACTTTCAGGGTAGGAGATTGCCAGAGAGGCTTCTGGGAAGCTGGCACTGCTGGGTACTGGTTTTATAGTTTGTTCACTAGTGAAAATGTGTACCCTTAAGAATTGCATCTTCTGAATATACCTCAACAAAAAATACCACTGGATTTATTTTCACTTTACCAATGAACTACATCTCCAGCCCTTTTTATTTTTTTATTTTGAGACAGGGTGTTGCTAAGTTGCTTAGGGCCTTGCTAAATTAAATTGTAAAAAAGAAAAAAAATTGAATGAGAATTTCTCTTGGTGTGTCTAACTGTGGTTTCAGGGGAAAAAAATGACTCCACAAATATTGTCTTCTCAAGAAGTACCAAATCTCCATGTTCCGTCCCCAGCTTTTTTCTCACAACAAATATTACCCAAATGTTCAGTTTCTTTTGCCCCCAAGCATATTTAGTATCTCTTTCCCCAACTGTAATCCCAATCTTACTAACTTCTGAACAAAGTGTGTGTGTGTATTTATAAAAAATTGTGACCAAAAAAAAAAAAAAAAATACCCACAAGCAACTTAGAATGTCAGAGGTGGAGGATCTGTGAGAACAACCTACCCTTTTCCCCCACCCCCTTACTCAGCACATATAGAGATTTGGAGTCAAAGGAACAGAGTCTGATTCCATGTTCTATCACATTCTTCTTCTTTTTTTTTCCTATCACATTCTTGCTTAATGAAATGGGAGGAAAAAATCTCAACTTCTGGAAAATGAAAGGGAGGATTAGCAACCTGGTCTGAAATCATATCAACTCCAAGTTGCCCTTCCTTTATTTATGCAGGAGAAGTTTGCCTATATGTACAAAATGTGTCTATGCAAATCCACTTTACTTTTGACCACGGCAGAGTGTGACACTCTTGGTAGCCATGATTGTCATTTTTATCCGCATTTTATGATAAAGGTGTTCTCATGGGACAGCTCCTTCTTTCGCCTGAGGGAAAAAAAAACATGATGGCAACTAATATATCTGTGTTAAATTTGTGTTTCTGATGTGCCTTAGGATAGCCACTGGATTTATTTTCTAATGCATTATCTAAGTCAGTTTTCCAGGTAACCAGCCAAGTTTGTCTCATGATCTGAATCATCATTTCCCCAAAGCTATCAACAGGATGAAACCAAGGAATAGTCGATTCAGTTTTAGAAGCAAGTTTCTGAAAGGTGTTGGGACTTCAGAGTTAATAGAGAACCTTATAGGAGTTATAGTGTATGGAAATCAAAATGACACTTGACCTCTTTCCTGCATCTATTTCCTTCTATCTGACATAACAGTTGTCTATATTTAGGCATCTTTTTATATCAGGAATCTTCATGAAACTCATACAGACTAAAATTACATTGATCATGCATAAAATGATATTTAAGAGTTTCTGGGAAAATTCTCACTCTTCATCTACATTCCAGAAAAAAATGAGATCACATTGTCATTCAAATCTTTGAAAGAATAGTACCCACTGACTCTACAAGAGTGGTGTTTAAGAGAAAGGTCTTTGTGCCTTAGTTTCTTCATCTAGAATCTGATAAGGTGTTAGGAAGGGTGTAATGGACCTAAAGGTTCAGTAAATAATCAATGTTGCTACTACTATCATTATTTAAAATTATGTGTTTAAATTTTCTGTATCAGCTGGGTTCGCACATGCCTGTAATTCCAGTGGCTTGGGAGGCTGAGGCAGGAAGATTGCAAGTTCAAAGCCAACCTCAGGAACTTAGCAAGCCCTAAGGATTTAGTGAGACCTTGTCTCAAAAAAATAAAGGGCTGGGTATGTAGCTCAGTGGTTATACACTCCTGAGTTCAATCTCTGTTATACCCCTCCCCGCAAAAAAATTTGTTTCCTCCTTCAACAGAAAATAAACTCTATGATGCTGGAATCTTACCTGTTTAATACATACAGGCAAATGCTGAATGTGTGTCAAGGAGCATAAAAATAAAATTTCTTAGTAAGGATGGGATTTCTCAAAGAATTAAAAGGAAAATTTCCTAAGGAACTCTCAAACTGACATTAATTTTTCAAGACTTGGGAAAATTTTGAAGACTATCTAGCAGGACAAGTATATGATGTGGGTGTAAAGAGCAATACAGAAGTATTTCAAGCCTTGTGCAGGGTTAAATAAAATAATAGCATGATCCATTATTTTTCAAACTTATTTGGCAAATCAAGGCTACTGGAGGTTTGTAAAAATTGTCTACATCAAGCTACACCTGCCTATACCAAGAAAAAGGAGGGTAGAGCCAGGCATGGTGGCACATGCCTAAAATCCTAGCAGGTCAGGAAGTAGAGGTAGGAGGATTCTAAGTTTAAAGCCAGCCTTAGCAGTGGCCAGGCACTAAGCAACTCACTGAGACCCTGTCTCTAAATAAAATACAAAGTAGGGCTGGGAATGCAGCTCAGTGGTTGAGTGTTCCTAGGTTCAATCCCTGGTACCCCCCCCCCCCCCCAAAAAAAAAAAGGAGGGCAGGGAAAAACACATAGTGAAAATTTACTATATATTAGTATTAAGTTCTTCACATCACATGGCTATTATTAAAATTATTTTAACACCTACACAAAATATATCTTAAAAGTTTCTTATCAGAAAAGTAAGTATATTCCTCTAAGATTGAGAACTAGATTAAAAAGAATAAAATTCCATTGCACAAAACAAAACAAAACTTAAGTACTTACTTTGGTCATTAAAATGACAGTGGAAACCAGGACCACTTTAACAATGCAAAACGTTAGGTTAATTTTGTTCAGAAAGAATTATTCATAAATGTTAATGAATATTTTACATACATTTACTATAAAGTTAGAAGCCTTTGTGTATTTTTTATCATAAAGTTGAAAAAAAAATTGTATGGAGGATTTATCCCAGGGGCACTTTACCAATGAACTACATCCCCAGCCCTTTTTATTTCTTTATTTTGAGACAGGGTCTTGCTAAGTTGCTTAGGGCCTCGCTAAATTGCAGAGGCTGACCTTTAACTTGTGATAATCCTGTCTCAGCTTCCCAAGTTGTTAGGGTTACAGGTGTGGGCCACACAGAGAAAGATGAATTTCTGTTAAATTTACTTTCCATTCTTGTAACGATTTACTCATTCACCCGATTATACTTAATTGGTATAAAAGACTATGTTGAATCTCTTTAAATTAGGAACATACTAATTAATTTCCTCTCTAAATAGTTATCTTGTAGTAATACAGTTGAGCCACTCAGACTAAAACAAACCATCAATGCAGTCCATTCAGTTTGTGCCAGGCACTGTTTTAGCCCCTTGGAAACAGCAATGTAGAAACGGAGAATTCCAATATCATGGTGTTTATTTTCTACTCTAGGAGGCAGAAAACAAAATAATAAATAATTTCAAATAGCGTTTTGAAGAAAAGTACACTTGGCAACGAGGTACAGAATGACGACACCAGTTACAGGTTGGGTCATCAAAGACCTCTCTCGAATTTGAGCTAAAGCCCTAAACAAGCATATCAGAAATAAACAGGCTTGTATTGAATGTTGTTCAGGTTTCTTTCTCCTTGGGACCAGATTGTTTCCAAATTTCCACACCTTCGTTTATCCCAAATTATCACAAACACATAAAATCTCTAATTTTATTATATTACAGACGAGAATCTCAGGTTCACAAATTAGGCAAGTAATTCCCAAGTGCGTACTTCTTGCTTTCTTGATATTGATTACACAATGGTGTTACAAGGAGAACGAAGTACCATGAGTTCGAGGACTTCTGAGGACAGTACTGAGGAAGACTCCTTCTCACCTTTCCTCCCATTTCCAACACCATGGCTCAGGCTACAAAGCCCAGTTAAAAGAAAGTCAAAGAAAGAAGAAGGCATCGTTCCCAAAGGCCGTAGCTTCTCTCACGTTTTCGTGGCGCTAAAACGCAAACAAGGGGAGGGATGATTTCCAGCCCAGCGCAAGCAAAAGCACTGGTACGAACAGAATACAGGGCGACGCCCACTTCCACCGATCGCCACGCCCTCCCGAGCGGGCGGTTTACATCGGGAAGGCTCGCGATTCGCGCTTAGCGCGTTACGTCATTTCCGCTGTCTCAAAAGCGGGCGTCACTAAATATCATTGCGATTTCCGGGTCGTTGAGGCCGCCTTCGGCGGCGCAGGCATCCGTGTTTGCTGGTGTCCAGTCTATGGAGGCAGTTGGTGCTGGCGGCGGCGCCGAGGCAGGAGGCGGTGTCCGAGTAGGGGCCTCTGCCCCGCCAGGATGTTACCGGGCTTGGCCGCCGCCGCTGCGGCCTGCAGATGTAGCTGGTCCTCTTTCTGCCGGCTTCATCTGCGCTGCCCGGCAGCGGCCCGTGGCTCCAGCGACCGCCACGGTGAGTGTCCCGCGCTGGCCGCTGGTTCCGCGGGCCGGGCCGGGCCGGACTTAGGCTCGGCGCGTCACTTCGGGCAGTGATCACCTTGCCCTTTCCCATCCCCAGAACCTTTCTTTCCGGACTCCGCCTTTAGGGGTCAGCCTGCCCATCCCTCAACCGACATGACAGGTACTCCTGATTCTGGTGCCGCCTGCAGCCCCAGCCCCGGCCGGCCTGGTCCCTGAAGCTGACCACTTTGTAATAAACAAAAGCTTAACGTGCGCTTCGTGGTGTCGGGTGATGAGCCCCTCGTCAGTGGGAAATGGCGGATCCGCAGAGTTCCTGAGCTTTTTGATCTCACGGACTCACCTTCACTTAGCACTTTTGACTGAGAGATTCTTTCGCTGCTCTCAACTTGTTTTCTTAAATTTCCTAAAAAAAAAGTGGGGGATGTCACACAAAATTACGGATTAAGAAGTATGAGGGCATCCCACAGGCATTGAATGAATCCCATTTTGGACCGCAAAACAAAAGAACTCAGTTCATCTAACAGTCCCACTGGTGAAATGTTTCCTGGAGCAGTAGTAACCTAGGAGAGGGAAAAGGTGGTTCAGATTTTTTTTTTTCCTTACTTAAATTTGTTAGAGAGGTTTCAAATGAACATTGAGCTTGTAATCAATCAGTCATACCCTGTTTTTGCAGTAGCTTGACATCAGGAACAGATGGGAACCCTGAGGGAGAAGATAGAACTAAATTTGTCCCTAATAGAATCCTCCAGATACTTGGGAATGCAAGGATTATTTACAAAAACATTTTCAAAAAATTAGTGTTTGAAAATGTGTAGCATGTTGCGACCTTCTAATAGAAGATGGAAGTCGCAGTAATTGGGTTTGTAAATTGGCTTAAGTTGTATGCTGTGAAAATAAATTAGAATATATTTGTCTTACAAATGTAATAAATGTAAAACCTAGTTCTTAAAATATTAAACGGATTTATTTTAACAGTATAGTTCTTGGTGCATTTTGTTAGTGATAGAAAAGTGTAACTATTGAGTTTTTTTTATAGTGACAATATACCTGACTCGCTAATGAACATAATGAATCATCTGGTTATATACTATACTCCAAAAATCCTCAAGTAATTGTTTCTATTAATCAAACAGTTTGGCATTTTACAATGAAATTACATTTATTGGTTGTTAAATTTAATCTAAACTTAGTGTTGGTAAAATATTGAAATAGTGTAATTTGAAATCCCTGTTCTGTTTAGCTGGAAATTATGTACACTCTTTGTCTCATCCATCTGTGAAACATAGATAATAATTACCACTCTAACTAGTCAGGATGACTTTGCAAAGTTCTTTGAAATGTTTAGTACTACAACAATTAAAGTGGGTTGAAAACACTGGGTTTTAAATATAACCATGTTTGTGGGAATTTAGTTTAATACTGAAACACTTTTTAAAAGGGAACCATAATTATAATAAAATTTAAAAACCATAGGCTGCAATTGTGGCACCGAGGCAGAGTGATTGCCTCACATATGTGTGGCACTGGGTTCAATCCTCAGCACCATATAAAAATAAATAAATAAAAAATAAATAAGTAAAAGTATTAAAAAAAAGACCATTGGGAAAAAATACTATTTGAACTGGATGCCTGTGAGAAGAAAAGACTATTTGAAGAACCTTTTTTTTGGTTGGGAGGAAGGGATCCAAAAACAGATGTTTTACAAAGTCAATTTTTGCTTCGAAAGTGCCTATGTGCCTATGTTGCTGAGGCAGAGAGTAAAGAGAGGAGGAAACCTTGAGGAAAACAGTTGCTTGATTTGAAAAAAAAAAAAAGATGAGGCATTCCTTTAAAGGCAAAATAGTATTCAAGAGCTTTCCTATACAAAAACAATGAGAACCCCATTCTGAATTGTCTGGTAGCCACATTTAAAAATGTAAATATAAATTAAATTAATAAAATTTCCCAGTATGTTCAAAACATTTCAACCATACAATCATTTTTAAAATTGAGTTATAGGGGACAGTTCTCATTTCAGGCATGGGAGATTGCAGGAAATCAAAGGGCAATTGAAGCCTTTATAAACTTAAAAGTATCTGAATCATGAGTTACAGAGAATGGAAACTCCAGTTTTCTTCAATAACTTGATGTCACTACTCTGAGTTTGAAAATTAAGTCAGCTGTTTAAAGGGTTCTGTGTATACTTTACACATTCAGAAGCATTTTTAGCCCCTTCCTCTCTCAATTATTAAGCTGTTTTACATTTTCTTTTTATATTAAGTCTTCAGAATCCAGTATTTTACACTTCCAACAATTCTCAGTTTTGATTAACCCACACTTCAAATGCTCAATACACAGAGACTATTGGATAGTGTATTCTTGAGTCAGTATCCCTAATTTATAAGAATTTTTACAGCCGAGCATGGTGGTGCATACTTTTAATCCCATCTGCGTGGGAGGCTGATGCTGGAGGATCATAAGCTCAAAGCGATCCTCAGCAACACAGCAAGACCCTGTCTCAAAATTAGGAATAAGCACCCCTGAGTTTAATCCCTGGTACCAAAAAAAGAAAAAAAAATAAGAAAGAATAAAAGAAACTTGTGAACATTCCAGTAGAAAAATGGTCAAAGAAAATAATAAATCAGTAAAGAAATTTTATCGGCCGATAGGAATGTACAAATGCTCCAAACACTGAAAAATGTAGACATATACCTTTGAAGAATTTACTACTTATTGGCTAGTATGTACCTCATAGGGTATTTGTTGAGTGGGGATTATTCTGCAGAGAGATGCTAGGCATTGTTTTTGTAGGTAGTATTAGTCCTGAGCAAGACAGTTTCCATCTTTATTGGTCAGATACCCAAAATATGAAATCTAAACTGCTGTAAAAGAAAAAAAGCAGAATGATGGACTAGAAAGTAACCAAGAGGGGCCATTTTGTTAGTGCTGGCCTTGGACTTTTCATTTCGTGAAAGATGAAAATAAGCAAGCCAGGTTAAAATCTAGGGGAGTGAGCAGACCAGAAAGCAACGTGGAACCATGAGTACTATTCTGGAGCAAAAAGAAATCTGCTGTGCCTGGGGTATAAGGTAGGTGGAATGAAATGAAGTTTGAGAGTTGTTAGACCCTTTTAGGCCACTAGTTTAAAAACAAAAGGTAGTGTTATAAAAATACACTGTGACTACTGGGTGAAGAATGGATTGGAAAGGGTGGAGTATGGATAGAGGAGATAGGGGACTATGAAGTTATTGAGGCAAGCAGGGTTGTGTTAGGACGATGCTGGTTAGCAATGGAGATGAGAGAAATAGATTTGAGATATGTTTTGGAGAATTAAGTTGATAGTATGTTAAAAGCCTTTAGCAGGATGTATAGTACTTAGTAAATCCTCAATGGTAGATGTTTTTTATTGTTTTTAGTTTTTCTAAATGTCAAGAAGAATTAAGATAATAGCGATGCATGCCAAGATGCAGTACGGGAATTTGTTAGCATCACATGTTGTTTCCTTACTCAAAAAATAAAAAATAAAAAATGACCTGTTCCTTACTGTGTCCTAGAGAAGTCACATCATAGACGGTATTATAAGTTATGATGATGATGTTAAGACCTTGAAGAATTTCTAGATAATTTAGCAATGGATATATTTTTAGTTTATTACTATAGATATTTTTTAGTACGGAATAGTAGAAGGTATAAAGTAAAAATTATACATAATCACGATATTTAACTAGTCACATTTTTAGTAGTCAAAATCATAGTGTATTAGTCTCTTGCTTTTTTCCTTCTTATTAGAAGTTTTTAATGAAAATATAGGGACCTGCCTTATGTGATCATTTTTCTGCTAGGGAACATTTAAGTTGTTTCTGTTTCTTCTATAATAAATAATATGAAGAATAGTCTTTGCATTCTGTATGTATTTCAAATTCACACTTAGTAACCTCTTTAATAAGAATTATAACAATTATTTAATTTTTATATGTCAGTGATTTCATTGGGGTAAAAAAACTACTGAACCAGTTTTCTTCAGTAAGGAGACTGACATCTGGAAAACAGGCTACAAGCCTGATTCATGTCTTGAAATTAGCCAGAAATAAGCTCAAACTCCAAGCAATAGCTTGATTCTTGTCTTGCAATTAGCCAGAAATAAGCTCAAACTTCAAGCAATCTTTTTGTTTTTAGCTAGTGTTTCTGTAGAATCAACATATACCATAGATTGTCACTTTGGGAAAAAAGGAATTTCTTTTTGTTGTTGTTTGCAGTCTAAACACAAAGGCCAAATTTTTTTCCCCTGAAACCTGGAGTAAGTGATGGGTGACAAACCAGACTGGAAAGAGAGGACAACTAGTGATCAGTAGCAGTGGTCATCAGAAGCTATGGAGGAAATAACAGTAAAATAAAAGCAGAGAATTGTTGTGATGTTTGTGACTGGATTGATATTCCACAATCTTGATGAAAAATAGCCCTTACATATCCAGCAATAAGAAAGGCCTTGTCCAGTTTGGTAGACTACTGAGTGCCAAATTAAGGACTGATATTCCATGCATAGCTTATTTTAGATGTCACCTACAAGAAAGGGCAATGATAGTGGTAGTATTTTTTACTACATTACTGCGTACTAGAATTAATTAGTTCATAATTCTTACAACAAATGGTTGGTTCTGCTGCTGCTGCTGCTGCTACTGCTTAGTTAGTAACTACATTTGTTTGATAGTTTGACTCATATACGGTCCTGTATAGTTTTTAAAATATAATCAGTTTTGTGTCTTGATGCCAAATATATACTTTTAAAGTTGCAGATACCTGAATTTCTACTGAGGGTAAAAATTAAGAACTTTCAGAATAGTTCATTAGGAAGTTAAGATTACTAGAATAGTGTCAAAAGATTTGAAGAGACCCCTTACTGGCTAGGAATGGGACAATTTTAGAATTACTCTGGATAATGATTGAAATGGATTAAAATATATCAAATAGGTTAAACACCACTTTACGAATTCAGTCCTTAGGATCTGAATTCTAAGAAACTACCAGGACAAAAATTCAAGACAACTGGTTCAACATAAATATGTTCAGTTAAAAAAAAAAAAAGACATTCTGTTGGGTGCCATGGTGCACGCCTGTAATCCCATTACCTCAGAAGGATGAGACAGGAGGATTGCAAGTTCAAAGCCAGCCTCAGCAAAAGTGAGAAGACAAGCAACTCAGTGAGACACTGTCTCTAAATAAATGCAAAATAGGTCTGGGGATGTGTCTCAGTGGTCAGGTGCCCCTGAGTTCAATCCCTGGTACCTCCCCATCCACACCCATAAAAAAGACATTCTGCAACTGTAAAGAGAATTAAAAAACATCTTAATATGCCTCTTAGATATATATACTAAAGTATTTATGAATGAAATTATTTGCTGTTTGAGATTTGCTTCAGTTTAATATGGTAGTGTGTAGATATTGGTACAATTAGACATGTGGCAAAATTTCCCATGAGTTTATAATTGTTGAAAGTTGGTAACAAATATGTGAAAGTTTATTGTACTGTTTTTATTATCTTTGTGTATGTTTGGACTTTAACAAAATATTTTAAAAATGAATTTTGAAAAACTCTAGCATCAGGTCATAAGAAAAAAGTCATCTTCTGAGGAAGGATTTTTTTAGGCTGTGGAGTAATCCCTTTTTAAATACTTTAGCACAAACTCTATAAAAGTATTTCATTAATGGATGAGAAAAAGTGTTGGTGCCATATAGTCCTTGTTGAGGAACAGTTATAAAAGTTATTTTGAATAGGACTGAAAAGTCAGAATGCCAGCGTCCCCAATGAAGAAGAAGCTTTTCTAGAGCATGGGTTTCTTAGGGGGACTTCTTTAGTTCTTGTGTCACTAGTTAATTTTGCTAGCTGGTTACATTGTGCAGGAATCTTCCATAGTTATGTTTTGTCTGCTCAGCATTTAGGAAATAGATGCAAATGGCTAAAAATATACTGGACCTCCAGCAATTTGCCAAATAAGTGAAAGTGCCATTGTGGAATAGATTTTCCAAGAAAATAAATTCCAAGCCCAAAACTTGAGTGAATAATGTTGCCTATGTCCTTTGTGCTCTTTAAATTATCTTCAGCATTCACAATAAACTGTATTTCTGATGTATTCTCTGTGCCTTTAAGAAAAGGTTTTTCTTTATTTCAGAAGGTAAATATTTGCATACACACATACATGAATTAAGATTTTTGCATGGTTATTATTAAGTTAAAAATTTCAGTTCTGAACTGTTCAACCCTTCATTTTGAAAAACTAGATTATCTATAATATGACTTCATCTAAAACTTCAAAGAATATGAATTGTGTCTAGACAGAATTTTTGAGTTCTTTCTAAAAGGGGAATTCTAAGTACTCATAGTAAAAAAGAGAGTCGCCAGAATGTAAAGACATTGCTTTTCTATCACTTTAGTGCAAAGTGGACTATATTCTCCTTTAGTCCTGCAAAGCCCACGGTCAACCCAGATGCAACAACTGAAGTACTTCATAATTAGTTTTCTTATTCTTTCCTCAATTAAAATATCCATATACAGAGACAGCTCACCAAATGTTGATCTAATTATCTGATTAGAAATAAGTGACAATATGAATTAATTAATGTTTATAATTAATTAATGTAATTATAATTACATTAATGAATCTCCAGCAAGTGAAAAGAGGGCAGGGAATAATTTTGAGTAGAAAGCTCTCCTGACACCCTACCACCTCCCTGGAGTCTTCTATTTTGAAAAATATGCCAACTTTAAAAAAAAATTTATTCATATATGACAGCAGAATGCATAACAATTCCTATTACATATATAGAGCACAATTTTTCATATCTCTGGTTGTGTACAAAATGTATTCACACCAATTCATGTCTTCATACATGATAATAATATCCATCACATTCCACCATCATTTCTAACCCCATGCCCCCTCCCTCCCTCTCCCACCCTTCTACCCTATCTGGAGTTCATCTATTTCTCCCATGCTTCCTTTCCTTACCCAGCTATGAATCAGCCTCCTTATATCAGAGAAAACATTCGGCATTTGGTTTTTGGGGATTGGCTAACTTCACTTAGCATTATCTTCTCCAACTCCATCCATTTACCTGCAAATGCCATGATTTTATTCTCTTTTATTGCTGAGTAATATTCCATTGTGTATGCCACATATTTTTTTTTAATCCATTCGTCTATTGAAGGGCGTCTAGGTTGGTTCCACAGTTTAGCTATTGTGAGTTGTGCAGCTATAAACATTGATGTGGCTGTGTCCCTGTAGTAGTATGCTATTTTTAAGTCCTTTGGGTATAGTCTGAGGAGAGGGATAGCTGGGTCAAATGGTAGTTCCATTCCCAATTTTCCAAGAAATCTCCATACTGTTTTCCGTATTGGCTGCACCAAGTTTCAGTCCCACCAGCAATGTATGAGTGTACCTTTTTCCCCATATCCTTGCCAACACTTATTGTTGTTTGTATTCATAATAGCTCTCATTCTGACTGGAGTGAGATGAAATCTTAGAGTAGTTTTGATTTGCTCTTCTCTGATTGCTAGTGATGATGAACATTTTTTCATATATTTGTTGATTGATTGTATATCATCTTCTGAGAAGTATCTATTCGGGTCCTTGACCCATTTATTGATTGGGTTATTTGTTTTTTTAGTGTTTATCATTTTGAGTTCTTTATATACCCTAGCGATGAGTGCTCTATCTGATGTGTGAGTGGTAAAGATTTTCTCCCAAGATGTAGGCTCTCTATTTAACTCACAGATTGTTTCTTTTGCTGAGAAGAAACTTTTTAGTTTGAATCTATCCCATTTATTGATTCTTGATTTTAATTCTTGCACCATCAGAGTCTTATTAAGGAAGTTGGGGCCTGATCCCACATGATGGAGATTAGGGCTACTTTTTTTTCTATTAGAGGCAGGGTCTCCGGTTTTATTCCGAAGTCCTCGATCCATTTTGAGTTGAGTTTTGTGTATGGTGTGAGATAGGGGTTTAATTTCATTTTGTTGCATATGGATTTCCAGTTTTCCCAGCACCATTTGTTGAAGAAGCTATCTTCTCTTCAATGCACGTTTTTGGCACCTTTGTCTAATGTAAGATAATTGTAATTTTGTGGGTTAGTCTCTGTGTCCTCTATTCTGTACCGTTGGTCTACCAGTCTGTTTTGGTGCCAGTACCATGCTGTTTGTGTTACTATTTATGCCAGCTTTTTTTTAGTATGCAACCAGCATACAAAAAAAAAAAAGTATCTGTCTAGATAGATAATTTTTTTCAGAATACCCAAATATGAATGTTTTGCCTTTAAGTGTTTTTTAAGTTGCCACATAAATTTACAAATTAGAGGGAAAAAATTTAAAATGTATTTTTTCTTTACAAAATGTTCCTCTATACTTAGGGAGATACCTCCAGTGAAGGCAGGTTGTTATTGTGCACCTAGGAGTTGGTTTGAAATTAAAATATATTTTTTTTCTTTTAGAATGGCGGAATTTAGTGACAACTGGAAGTTTTGCATACATGGTTCCCTATAGTCACCCACATATTTGTGTACTGAGTCAAGTAAAATTGTACTCTACAAATGTTCAGAAAGAAGGACAGGGATCACAAACTCTCAGAGTGGAAAAAGTGCCATCATTAGATGAATCAGGTATGTATAAACTTTTAGATCTTTTTTTTCCTGTATGCTTGAATGGTTTGTGTAAAATTATATGCTCCCGGGGGCTGGGGATGTGGCTCAAGCAGTAGCGCGCTTGCCTGGCATGCGCGCAGCGCTGGGTTCGATCCTCAGCACCACATACAAAGAAAGATGTTGTGTTCGCCAAAATCCAAAAAAAAAAAAAATATATATATGCTCCTTGAATATCTGATAGAGTTTGTAAAAGTAGCTAGACTGGTATTTTCTTTGTGGGATCTATTAAACTGCTGCTTTAATTTCTTTAGTTTTTCTATTTATTTTTGATTCAGTTTTGGTAAGTTATATTTTTTTTCTAGGAATTTTTACATTTAAACTAAATTTTTAATATATTGGCATAAAGTTCATAATATTCTGTTCATCCTCAGTTGCACAGATAGTTCTTTTTTCATTCCCAATATCTATCTTATTATTTTTAAATAAATTGTGTCAAAGCTTTGTTTTTTTATTATTTTTCTTTTTTAAAAAAATATTTAGTTTTTAGTTATAGGTGGATACAATGTCTTCATTTTACTTTATGTGGCGCTAAGGATCGAATCCAGTGCCTCACGCGTGCTAGGCGAGTGCTCTACCTCTGAGCCACAACCCCAGCCCTTTTTATTATTTTTCAAGTATTAATTTTTTTACTCTGAACCATCATATTGTATATTTATTTCTTTTTATAATTTTTTTAATTGTAGTACACAATACTTTTATTTATTCATTTATTTATTTATGTAGTACTGAGGATCAAACCCACTGCCCCATGCATATAAGGCAAGCACATCACCACTGAGCCACAACCCCAGCCCCTCATATTTATTTTTTATTTCATAATTTCTACTCTTTATAGACTCATTTTTGCTTGCTTTAGGTTTATTCTATCATTCTTTTATTAACAATAAAATACTTTGCTTATTAGTAATGAGCCTTCCTTTTCTGAAGTAGGCACATAAGCTGTACACTTTCTACAAGTTTTGACAGATATTATTTCTTACTACTTCTCTATTATCTTTCTCTGGAACTGCAATTAGAAATATGTTAGATTTTCTAGAGCAGGTGCAGTGGAACAACACACGTAATCCCAGTGATTGGGGAGGTTGAGGCAGGAGGATCACAAGTTTGAGGCCAGTCTGGGCAACTTAACAAGACCCTGTTTTAAAAAAAAAAGGGACTAGGGATATGGCTCAATAGTAGTGGTACTGGGTTTAAACCCCAGTACTGCAAAAAAAAAAAAAAAAAAAGTTAGATTTTTATACTTGTTTTTTATGTCTCTAAATTCTTTCTTCATATTTTCTTTCTTTATCTTTTTGCCTGCATTCTAGATTATTTCCTCAGGTCTACTGAGTTCACTAATTTCCTCTTTTTTTTTTTTTTTGTGGCACTGGGAATTGATCCCATGAATGCTTAACCCCTGAGCCACATCCTCAGCCCTTTTTATAATATTTTTATTGGGGACAGGGTCTCACTGAGTTGCTGAGTGCCTCGCTAAGTTGCTGAGACTGGCTTTGAACTCTTGATCCTCCTGCCTTAGTTTCCCGAGCTGCTGGGATTATGGGACGCTATTGTGCCAGGCTGATTTCCTCTTTAGTTGCCTCTAATCTACTGGTTAGTTATGTATATTAGGTTTCCAATTTCAATGACTATGTATTTCATTTCTAGAAAAAAAGTTTTTCACCTTGCTTGATCTGTCATTCCTTGTGTATATTTTCAAGTTTCTCTTTTTATTACTTTATCAAATGTGACTGAAAATTGCTATGTAAAATTCTGATTCTCACTATATTGTCATTTTCCCTATCTTGCTTTCATTTTGTATCTGTTTCTTAACTGTGATTTGCTTATTTTCCATGCAGTTATTTTATTTTGAAACAATATATGATCTTTACCTGGATAGAAGATGCTGTCTTTGACTAGAATATTTATTTTTGCTTCTGCTTCTGTGTAGCTGCTGGGTACACAACTTGGGACAATATTAAGTTAGATTCTCTGCTTTAGATCTTTTAGACTCCATTATTGGCGCAGATTCAGACTGCACATGTGAAGGTTTAGGATTGCTTGTTCTTAGGATTTTCAGGAGAGTTTTTGTTTTTTCCTCCCATACTACTTAACACCAAAGTACAGATAAGCCTAATTATTATTGCTTTCTGTGTATGCTATTTATTTCTGGCTCACAGTTAAATTATGTATGTAGCTTTATATCTGGGTATTTCCTGTTTGACCCCCACTTTCATGTTTTTATTTTAGTTTTTTACTTTTTGGTACTAGAAATGGAACTCAGGGATACTTTACCACTGAGCTATCCCTAGCCCTTTTTAATATTTGTTTTGAGACAGGTCTCACTAAGTTGCTGAAGGCCTCATAAGTTGCTGAGACTGGCCTCAAACTTGTGATCCCCTTGCCTTACTCTACCAGAGTCCCTGGGATTACAGGTGTGTGCCACTGTACCCAGTACCCAACCCCATCTTCAGCAGAACCTAGTCTTATTCTTGGCCTTCTGCATCCCTTCTACAGCAATGACTGTGGAAGCTCAAAGAGTACAAGATTCAGTAGAAACCAGGAGAAAAGGTAGTTTTGGTTACTCGTTTATTCTGTAGAGATCTTGCTTTTATTTCATTTTTCTTTTTTCTGGATTATTTTTTGCTAGATTAGTGATGCATTTTAAAAGGTTTTGTTCCAGGTATGTAGTATGCCATGCAGCATTAAAAGAAAGTACTTTGTTTATTGATTTATTCATTAATTCACTCAGGAAATATTGAGTACCTCTTATATGGCAACAAAAGGAGTAACTCTGAGTTTATGTGTTCTTTATTACTAAAGCAGAAAATTGAGCAGAAAGATATTGTATGATAAGTACTGTGGTAGGGGAAAATTCCCTTTGGGTTTAATTGTACACTTTAAGCCAGTTTCTTCTTTCTTTTGCAATACAGAACTGCTGGGATAAATATTGTTTGATAGTTGGGTATTATAAGATGAAGGAGTATAGAATGTAATGAGTCTCTTAAGTTCTAGAATTAAGTAGTTATAACACAGTGAATAAAGAAGAAACAGATGATGAAATAATATAATTAGGGGTAAAATATAATGCTCTTCTCAGGTAAACAGACTCAGACAAAAATATTAAGTGTTGATTTCACTGTACAGAATCTTTAAAATTGACATCCATGACTAGTTTTCTTTTTACTCTGTTTACTGGAATAAAAAATGTTACATTATTTTCTTATATTAAAAGTAAATTGTTTATTGATGGTTATATTTGTGGTTCTATTTTTTAAGATTTGCTAAGGCAAAATTAGACCTTGTTAGCCATCACATAGGCACCAAGTAATTGCTTGATTGAAAGATAATTTGTATATTTAAGGATTTGAGATTGATTTTTGAATAATTCAAAGCACATGGTAAAGTTAGGAACAGCTCATTAAAAAGCAGAGACCTGCTAAGGCATCCTTAAATTTTTAAGGATCATTGAGATGTTTTAAATTTTAGTAAAATTAGTTTTAATTTTTCTAATGACAGCAGATGTGTGTTGAACAGCTAGGATTTGAGCTTAAAACAAATGTCTGGAGATATTTGTGGATAGACTATTTGGTTACTTATTGAAATCATACAGATTCTACTCTAGTGATACAGCATGAGTTTATTAAGATGGTGGTATGCAAAATAAGTATTCATACCTGTGTTTGAGCCATTTACTAAATAAAACATTCTTATTTGTGCTTCATAACACTAAATATTTAGTAAGATCTAGACAGTTTGCAGTGAGAAAAATATTCAGAAGTATCCATCTTAGAGCAACTCATTTTATTTTATGTGATTTGGTTAATTATTGTGAAAAGGAGGACTTTTCTGAAACCTTTGATGATAGACTTCAGTTTTTCAGACACCAATGTATTGAAAACTTAACTACTCTACTCTTCCCTCTACTTGTCTCTGCCTTGCTCTCTGTTCCCAAAACAAATTTTTAAAAAATTGATAAGTAGATTCTGTAGAGAAAGATGCTTTATTTAAAGTTTTATAACTTTATAGCAATAACAGTCATAATAATTATTTAATTCTTTAATGTCAGATGTTATGGGCTTCAGTTATTAAGAAAGTAGAAGTGTTTTTAAAGTAGGCTTAAGCCTATTTTAATTAACCAAATATGCCATCATAACCCACTTAAGATTTAGTCAGTAGTTAAAACCTTTTAAGAATTTTTTGAACATGCTTTAGTAATTGAAACATATTACATACAGTCATTTCCCCTATTATTTTTACTGAAAAATAATTGCCAAGAAATATACCAAAAATTACATGTAAGAGGTTTTTGCTTTTATTTCAGTTTTGCCTTTGTTCGTGCTTAGTCTGTTAATTCTTTCATATGAGTCTTGAAAGAAGGTAAGTCAGTGGATAGGTAGAACTTCTGATGAAAATATGAGTACATGCTTTGAGGCACTCATCCTATTTCTCACTAGAGTGATAGGTAAAATATAAAAAGAAAATGGAAACTATATTCTGTGCTAAAAAGAAACAGCAGCAAAAACCTCATGTTATATCCAAGAAATTGAACAGAAGTATCTGGGTTCTGGGTCTGTAAGCAGGTAGTGGTAGCTAGGAATTTGGTTTATTTAGGGTGATGGATCTACAAGTGCTGCATGAATAGCCAAGTACCGGAGTCACACTATTTGAACTTACCCATGTATCCCTATACACAAGGAGGCTATTCCATTTGCTACCACAGAGGCTGTGTCATATAAGAAGATACAGGTCTAGGGAGGAAGAAAGAAGACTGTTAACTGAAACCTGCTATTTGCTGGAATGGAGACTGAATTGAAGAATAGGACATCCCCCAGCACTGGGGATTGAACCCAAGGTCTCACACATGCTTATCAAGTGCTCTTGTACAGAGCTACCTTCCTATCCACTGCCGGCCCAGCACAGGGGTAAAACTATCTAACAGGCGATATGTGATCTGGTTCTAGAGAGAGAGATCAGATTGA